GCAACTCCATTCAAACTCTCCTTGGTAACCCTAAGGATAAAATTCCATTCTTAGAAAAGTCGGGGATATATGAAATTAGTTGTAATGACTGTAGTAAAAAATATATTGGACAAACTAGACGTTCAATCAAAACCAGATTTAAAGAACATCTAGCTCATGCTAGGTTTGGTAGAGAAGAAAAATCTAGTGTTGCCCAACATATTCTTACTGATGGACATAATATTAATATTAATAACCTTAAGTTAGTTAAAGAAGTTAGGAATAATCGTTTACTAAACAGTTTTGAAAGTTTATACATTTATAAAAATAAACAAATTGTTCTTAACAATGACAACGGTCCCATCCCTGGATCTCCGCTATTTAGTTTAGTTTAATTACGTTTATGATGATGATGTTAAGGTCCATTGAACATCTACCTTGTTGGCTTCGGGTCATGTTCACTGAACCTTAACAACTATCAGTATAAATTAGGATTAGTTCTCATTTAGGTTTAGTTTACTTCAATCCCTGAAGAAGGTAACTTTGTTACCGAAAAGTGCTTCGGACAACTACAGTGTCGTGTTTTAGCGTTGGGGTTTTGAGCTATTCTGTTTGTTCTACAACAACCGCCAAAGTTTTTCCAATCTTCATATATTTCAACAAGTATACGTTTAAGTTATTCGGTAACTTCTGAAAAAGCCATAGTGACGAAGCATTTGTCAGGACAATAAAAAGTTTGGAAATATCAACTTAAACATACCTACATATAAAAAATTGCTTATTGCTGCCTTTCCAAAAACAGAAAAATACAGACTGAATTGTAAGTCAGTCCAAGAAAAAATATTGTGAATATATGATAATCTGGAACGTTCATTTATCCTAGCTCCTGCTATTGCGGTTCTTCTCCTTCGCCCCTTCCTTTTACATTTTGACAATCGCTAAGTTACCTTGTTTATTCTGTTCTCTTCCTCTGTAATTTATTTGTATAACGATGTATGACACAATGTAACCGCTCTCCCCTGTTTTCGCACTAAGTAATTATTTAGAATTTGTCCTTAACCATAATAACACGCTAACGTGAACAATGTAATAAAGGGAAATGAACCTGTTTATATTCATTCACCACACGACCGGTTGGTAAACTCACAGGGCGGCTGTAAAATCCCGAATACGTTAAATGTAATCTTCAGATAACACCAAATATGAAAACTAAACGCGTTTTCCTTAATACGTGATCAGCTATTAGAGGAGAAGGTCTAAATATGGGCTACGTCTTTTATTTTCTCAAAAATTTTGGAAAATAAAAATAATATTTTACATTATATCCCAAAAATATTGTAAAATGATACATTTTTATTGATTTGATGTGATTAACATGAAATTAAACAAAACAGCTTTTTTACTTTTTACACATAATGAAATCTACAAAATTACCAAATTATTACTTAAGGTCCAAATATGAGCTAGCTTATTTCTAAAATTTTATCTTTCAGAAACTAAATTATTGAAGACAAATTTAATCATGGAAAAATTTATTTACAAAAATCGCATATGTAGACTTCTTTTTCTGCACCTGCACATTCACTGTGTGCCCATAATAAACACTGAAAACACTTTACCCAAACCTCTCCTTGGGTATCTTCAGAATAAAGTCTGCTGCAAAATAGACACTCTGCATCTTCAGTGTCAGGTTGTTCTTCCTCCATTTTATCTGGCAGAAACGTTTTTCTACCTAATTTTGAGCGTGCTACTTGAGCAGGAGATAGATTTTCCTTTTTAGACAGCCGTTGAACTGTGCTACGAGGTACGTGGAAAGTCTTTGCCGCTTTTAAAGTGCCCATTTTGTTTTCTCTTACCGCTGTCACAGCTTTTTCCATATCTTCCGGGTTCCAAAACTGTCTTTTTCCTTGAGGAACATATTTTGGTGTTTTTCTCGGCATTCTAAAATGAAAAACATATAGTTTAGCAGATCGTAAAGTTTTGGTCTAAATATGAGCTATAGCTCATATTTAGACCGATTACTATAGCTCATATTTAGACCACCGGCAATTTGACAAATAAATAAAAACATAAACTCTAAAAACCTAAAAAGTAAGCAAAATACCATGAAAACACAACAATTAGTACTTCAATTAGACGTCATGTTAATTCAAATTCTATTTCAATATGTACCGATTAAGTAAAAATCAATTTTTTACATACCTGATAAATATTTGCACTGAACAATGTTGCAAAAAAACAACTTTTTCCACTTTTAAAAATAAACACGTGAACAAATATGGCTGCAAGGCACACTAACGTTAGAATACTTATAGACGAAATAGTTAGCGGTGTTGACGCTAGACGGGGGTGCATACATGAAGAGATTTCAGGAGTAGCCCATAATTGGACCAGTGCTCATATTTGGACCTTCTCCTCTAACCTACCACCGATAGAATTTTGCGATAAACATAACTTAACCGTCGCAAATACTTTATTCAAACATTACGTTAAGAGGTGCTATACGTGGAAGTTGCCAGGTGAATTAGGGCAATATCAGTTAGATTAAATACTTGTTAGGCAAAGATTTAAAAATCAAGTGAAGGACTTTAGGAGTTATCAAGGAGCAGATATAGATAGCGATAATAACTTAATGGTTATGAAGTCCAATCTTAAATTGAAAATTCTGAAAAAGAGGAAAGGTAGGGAACGTCTTGACTTAGGGCTAAAATGTAACAAAAGCGTGATAGGCTAGGTACAAGGACAGACGAAATACTAAAGGCGGTGGGAGAAACAAATGACAGGGATATAGAGACATAGAGAAGAAAAGTAGGGAAAGAGCGAATATGATAGGATTCGAAAAATTAGGAGAATTTTAGGTATCTAGGAATTTAGATAAGTCAGGACGGAAGGAGTAGTAGGGATGTAAATCAGAGGATAGTGCAGGGTCTAGTCACTTTCAATAAAAAAAGGCATTTCTATGATCGCGAACGATAATTATGGAAATTCGAAAAAGGATGTCAAATGTGTATGCTTGGAGCACGGAGAGGTACTGGTGCGAAACATGGACAATGGGTGCGGTGGAAAAGTAATGGTTAGAAGTGTTCGAAATGTGGTGTTACAGGCGGATGATGAGGATACCGTGGATAGAGAAGGTTAGTAATGAAGAGGTATTAGAAAGAATAGGAGAACAGAGGACTCTATAGAAGTCAAGAAATAGGCGAGATAAGTTAGTAGAACACCTTCTCAGGCATGAAGGTCTAGTTAGAGGCATATTAGTGGCAGAAACGGGAGTTCGGAGGGGCAGAGGTGGATCTAGATTACATTACTGTTCGCAGATAGTTAGGGATGTGGGCTGTTCTAGTTTTAGGGAAATGCGAAGTTTAGCTCAGGATAGGAAAGAGTGGAGGTGCATATCCAACCAGTCTTAGGACTGACAACTTTATGATGATGGATCTGTGCTGTCCAGTTTTGAAATAATTAGATAATTATAACGTAATTACGTAATATAGTAAGCGTTACATCCTCAACCGCAGCTCTACACGAGGATGATGGTTCTTATAAAGTGAAAGTTAATTTAGAGAAACTATCCTTAGAAAATAAAGAACACAAATAATAAAATGTAGAAATTTTATAATGATATTTCTTAACAATATTCGGTTACAATTTATTGTAAACATTTTACATTATTCGATACAAAGCCTGCTGTACCAACTTTTAAAACAGGTTAATTCTAAACCAATACCTGCGTAGAATAGTGCAATTGAGATATAATAAATTTAATAATGTGCTGGTTGACTAGTAACACTAGTATATTTGCAAAAATCTGCTTTTCTATTAAGTCTAAATAATCATTTGGAAATGCTACATGTTTTATTTGTTAGAACTCTGTAGGTTCTTCTTTAAGGGTAAATGCCTTAGTGTTTTCATGGACTTCTGGAAAAGGTACGATGAAATTTTTGACATTTTCAAAATACTCATCCTTGGGTTCTTCTTTAGGTATAATAATTTCACTAAATTCGATAGGTTCCTTTTCATAAAAAACAGGTACTCTAATTTCACTTAATTCGATAGGTTTTTGCTCATAACCAACAAATGGTTCATAAGCAGTGGTAAACCTTCCTTCTTCCTCCTTTTTTGCAACAGGCTCGGCAGGTTTTATTGTTAACGGCTCACCGATGTTAGTTAAACGTTTGCTAATCTTCTGATAACTTTTTGTTACTTTCTGATATTTGAGTTTAATCATTTCAGTCAGTTCGACAGATCCCTTGTCTTCGTCTACAGCATTAGTAGTTCCATTTATATGATCACATTTGAATGATTCACTGTCTATGTGGGTTCGCATGTGTTTATATAAATAGCTCTTCAGAGAAAAGCATTTTTCGCAGATACTGCATTTGTAGGGCTTATCGACTGAATGGGTTTTCATGTGATCATGTAAATGTATCTTTTGTGTGAAGCTTTTTTTGCAGGTTTCGCATTTGAACCGCCTTATGCCTAAATGGGTTTGCATGTGATTATTTAAAGTGTTTTTGTGAGTGAAGCATGTTTCGCAAATACTGCATTTGAACGGTTTCTCACTCGAATGGGTTTTCATGTGAACATTTAAATAAACTTTTCGTGTGAAGCTTTTCCTGCAGATTTCACATTTGAATGGCTTCTCGTCCAAATGAATTTGCATATGCTTATTCAAAGAACTCTTTTGAGTGAAGCATGTTTCACAGATACCGCATTTGAACGGTTTATCGTTCGAATGGGCTTTCTTATGAACATTTAAATAAACTTCTCGTGCGAAGCTCCTTTTGCAGGCTTCGCATTTAAATGGTTTCACGCCCGGGTGGGTTTTCATGTGATCATGTAAATATAGCTTTCGTGTGAAGCTCTTTTTACAGACTTCGCATTTGAACTTCTCGTTCAAATGGGTTTGCATGTGTTGAATCAAACTGCGCTTCCGAGTGAAGCTGTTTTTGCAGGTTTCACATTTGAATGGTTTTTCAAGCAAATGTCCTTTCATGTGAGCATTTAAATTACACTTTTGATTGAAGCTTTTTTTGCAGGCTTCGCATTTGAATGGCTTGTCGCCAGAATGGACATTCATATGTTGATTCAAAGTACTCTTATGAGAGAAGCATGTTTCGCAGATACCACATTTGAATGGCTTTTCACCAGAATGGTTTGCCATGTGTCGATTCCAACTGTTCTTATGAGAGAAGCTTGTTTCGCAGATATTGCACTTGAATGGCTTCTCACCCGAATGGGTTCTCATGTGAATTTTTAGGGAAACCTTTAGTGTGAAGCTTTTTTTGCAAACTTCGCATATAAACGGCTTTTCACCCGAATGGGTTCTTAAGTGATCAAGCAAATGGCCCCTTCGTGTGAAGCCTTTTTTGCAGGCTTCGCATTTGTATAGCTTTCTGTGTATGTGTTGTTTAAGAATGTCACATTGTACATCGAGTTNATATTTCAGAGATCCCAGTCTTTCTACGAGAGACTCGAGTCTCTCAATTTGTCAGTTTTATTCATTCAGTCTCTCTGTGAGAGACTCGAATCTCTTAATTAACAATTTTATCGTTCAAGTCTCTCATACAAAGACTGTGATAGATCCATAAAAACACCTAGGCAATAACTGAGACACTGTGAGAGACGCTCTCAGAGACGCTGAAAGACTCTGAGAGACTGGAGAAAGACTGAAAATTTTTGTCTAGGGATACACTAGTAGCGAGTGAAGAAGCCAAAACAATTCAAAATACTAACAAGTAAAAGTACTTAACCATTTAATAAGAATTCTATTAAGTTGTTCTCTTAGTTATTCGAGTTAATACCATATAGGTAATATGTATAATACGTGCTTTTGTAGCTGTAAATGTCAACCAGATGGCGGTACACTACCTGTACTTGGATGTTGTTTAATCATTTGTTTAACTGCTTGTTTACTACCATTACTGCTTGTACGTTTAACCTAGTAATATTTATTCTGCTATAACTTTAACTAAAATGCTGTATCTAACAAAAGTTAATATTTATTTCACAGTAAACATACTGGAATTTTCCGCTTCATGTCTTGAAATGTTCGAAATGATCAAACACAGGACAAAACCATCTCAAAAGTCGAATCCACTAACAATATTTCAAAGCTACGTCCAAAACCAATCATTAAAGATTAAAGAAGACTGGATTCACAACTTTAGCATCATTATTCTGTTCGTTACGAATTATTCCAAAATTTCAACGTTCGCACGGCACCAACAATCATATATTCTCAATTATGTCAATCGTACGACTTCTAAAATAAGGTGTTCGGTATGATTGATATTGATTTGAAATTTTCATCGAGGTATTGGTATAACTCGAATGAGGGAAAAATTTACATAGGAACTGTGCACGAAAATTGTAAAATTGTTTATTAAAATAATAAAACA